TGAGTGGTTTTTTAGAAAACTGCCGGACAAAGTGACCCTCTGAAAATCACTAAAACGCGGAAATCTCAAAACCGGAAGTGACGTCATCAAAACGAAAAAATATATATCTAGATTTTTTCATGCTCTATCAGTCCTGAAAGTTTCATGAAAATCGAGCGAGCCGTTTTCGAGAACTCGCGTGCACAAAATCGGTAAGAAAAAAAACAATAATAATAATAATAATAACTAGAGCCGAGCTCGTTGCAAAGCAACGAGTAGGTCTTCCGTCCTGTTTGACCGGAAGTAACTTTCATTTAAAAAAAATAAAGAGTAATGAAGTCCAAAATTGGTTTAATCCTCCAAATCTACGTTAATTATTGCAAAATAAAGCCATTTTTGGCAACTTCCGGTTTGACCGGAAGTGACGTGACGGACGGAAAATTAAGATTTAAGCTTCCAGTGACATATGATATCCAAATATCCAAAAACCTGTCAAGAACAGCAAAAATATGCAATTTTTGACTACTTCCGGTTTGACCGGAAGTGACGTCGCCGGACGTATTTTGACGACGCCATTAGATAAAGCTTGATATTTTGAACAACTTTGCTTCTTTGACGTATTACAAATTCTCAATACTTTTTGAGATATAAAGGAAAAACTTTCGGCCCCTTTTGGCCCTTTTTTTTAGGGGCCAGCCCCTTATCGTTGATATTTTTTGAAAGATCGTGACATTCTTCACAACTTTTGTTCTATATGTCTTTACAAAATATTAACGTATAAAAAGATATTGCCAAAAATGTGTTAAAAATTTCGAAATTCACGATAAGTCTTTTTTCGAGCCATAGCGAGCGCCGATGTGCTGCACTTCCGGAGAATAAGAAAGGTGTGTGTCACATCAGCACATGTTGCTCTATCATCGCTGAAAATCTTACGTTTCTATCTAAAAGCACTTTTGAGAAAAGTGCTGGACAATGTGACCCTCTGAAAATCACTAAATCGCGGAAATCTCGAAACCGGAAGTGACGTCATAAAAATAAAAAATTATATATCAGGTTTGATTGATGTTCCATCAGTCCTGAAAGTTTCATGAAAATCGATCGAGCCGTTTCTGAGAAATCGCGTGCACAAAATCGGTAAGAAAAAAAAACAATAATAAGAATAGCTAGAGCAATGCTCGTTGCAAAGCAACGAGTAGGTCTTCCGTCCGGTTTTGACCGGAAGTGCCGGAAGTGACGGAACAAAAGAAAGCAATGAGCTAAGTAGTTTCCAGTGACTTTATTATTTCAATTTTGCATCAAATCCTTCAAAAAAAGCCATTTTTGCTACTTCCGGTTTAACCGGAAGTGACGATAACGGACGGAAAAATTACTTTTTATGCTCCCGGAGACAAATGTATCCCAAAATCTTGCCGAGAACGGCAAAAAAACGCGTTTTCCGACTACTTCCGGTTTGGCCGGAAGTGACGTCGCCGGACGCATTTTGACGACTTCATTAGATTAAGCTTGATATTTTGAACAACTTTGCTTCTTTGATGTGTAACAAATTCTAAATACTTTTTGAGATATAAAGAAAAAACATTCGGCCCCTCTCAGCCCCTGATTTAAGGGGCCAGGTCCCAGGATCATGAAACATCTTAAGCTTAAGTCAAAATCTTTATTTTATTATAAAATTTTGTAAAGATCGAGAAGACCAAAATTAAAATATTTTTTCAATATTGCTTTTTAAAAGAGTTGTTATCTGCAAATTTCTAATTAAATTCCTTAAGTAATGAATATTTTATAAGTGATAGAAAATTTGACTTAAGTCTAAGTTGGTTTCATGATCTTGGTCCCAGCCCTTTTTCCGAGGTATCAGTTGAAAGATCTTGGAATTCTATACTTTTTTTGTTCTACATGTTTTAACAAAATATTTCCAGGTAAAAAGATATCGTAGAAAAGGTGTCAAAAATTTTGAAATTCGCGATAGGACTTTTTTCGACCCATAGCGAGCGCCGACGTGCGGCACTTCCGGAGAAAGAGAGTGGTGTGTGACAAAAGAGCACACGTTGCTCTATCATCGCTGAAAATCTCATGTTTCTGTCTTAAGGCATTTTCGAGAAAAATGATGGACAATGAGACCCCCTGAAAATCACTTAATCGCGGAAATCTCAAAACCGGAAGTGACGTCATCAAAACAAAAAATTATATATCAGGTTTGTTTGATGTTCTATCAGTCCTGAAAGTTTCATGAAAATCTATCCAGCCGTTTTCGAGAAATCGCGTGCACAAAATCGGTAAGAAAAAAAACAATAATAATAATAACTAGAGCAAAGCTCGTTGCAAAGCAACGAGTAGGTCTTCCGTCCTGTTTGACCGGAAGTAGATTTATTTATAACAAAAATGCAAAATAACGCACAAAATAGCCTGAATCCTCTAAAAGTATGTTAATTTATGCAAAAATAAGCCATATTTAGCTACTTCCGGTCTCACCGGAAGTGACGACGGCGGACAGAAAATTAATTTTTATGCCCCCAGAGACATATGTTACCCCAAAACTTGTAATGAACGGCAAAAATACGTATTTTCAGACTACTTCCGGTTTGGCCGGAAGTGACATCGACGGACAAATTTTGACGACGCCAATAGACTAAGCTTGACCTTTTGCACAACTTTGCTCTTTTGACGTATTACAAATTCTTTATAGATTTTGAGATATAAAGAAAAATGTTTTGGCCCCTCTAGGCCCCTTATTTTAGGGGCCAGCCCTTTTTTCGAGATATCATTTGAAAGATCTTGAAATACTACACTTCTTTTGCTCTATATGTCTTAACAAAATATTTCTAGGTAAAAAGATATCTACGAAAAAGTGTTACAAATTTTGAAATTCGTGATACGTCTATTTTTGGGCCATAGCGAGCGCCGACGTGCGGCACTTCCGATTAAAATGAAAAACGTTATACATATCTACAGACTTTGGTCTATCATACCTGAAAGTTTCATGTTTCTATCTTGAGCCATTATTGAGAAAGTCTGCGGACAAACTGACTCTTCAAAAATCATGAAATCGGCAATATCTCCAAACCGGAAGTGACGTCATCAAATCGGAAAAAAAATGCATAAGGTTCAAGTAATGTAACATAAGTCCTGAAAGTTTCATGGAAATCCATCGAGCCCTTTTTGAGAAATCGCGTGCACAAAATCGGTAAGAAAAAAAAGAATAATAAAAGTGGAAAAGAAACCTAAGAATAACAAGAAGGTCTTCCGCTGAAGACGGAAGACCTTAACTAGAGCAAAGCTCGTTGCAAAGCAACGAGTAGGTCTTCCGTCATGTTTGACCGGAAGTGGCTTTCATTTTTAACAGAAATGGGAAATAACGTCCAAAAATGGTTTGATTCCTCTAAATCCATGTTAATTATTGCAAAAATAAGCCATTTTCTGTTACTTCCGGTTTGACCGGAAGTGACGACGACGGACGGAAAATTTATTATAATGCCCCCAGAGACATATGTTACCAGAAAACTTGTCAAGAACGGCAAAAATACGTGTTTTCCTACTACTTCCGGTTTGACCGAAAGTGACGACGCCGGACGTATTTTGACAACTTCAATAGATTAAGCTGGACATTTTGAACAATTTTGCTTCTTTGACGTATCACAAATTCTCAATACTTTTTGAGATATAAAGGAAAAACTTTCGGCCCCTTCAGGCCCTGATTTAAGGGGACAGCCCTTTTTTCGAGATATCATCTGAAAGATCTTGAAATTCTACACCTTTTTTGTTCTACATGCTTTAACAAAATATTTCTAGGTAAAAAATTATCGTTGAAAAAGTGCTTAAAATTTTGAAATTCTTGATAGGACTATTTTCGGGCCATAGCGAGCGTCGGCGCTTCGTACTTCCGGTAGTTGTGATATACTTAGTGCACTTCTTCAAAAGTTGCTCTATCATCACTAAAAATTTCAAGCTTCTGTGTTAAGTGCTTTTTGAGAAAACTGCCGGACAAAGTGACCCTCTAAAAATCACTAAATCGCAGAAAACTCCGAACCGGAAGTGACGTCATCAAAATAAAAAAATATATATCTAGATTTTTTTATGTTCTATCAGACCTAAAAGTTTCATAAAAATCGATCGAGCCGTTTTCGAGAAATTGTGCGTACAAAATCGGTAAGAAAAAAAAACAATAATAAATAGAGCAAAGCTCGTTGCAAAGCAACAAGTAGGTCTTCCGTCCTGTTTTGACCGGAAGTGACGTCAACAAAAAGAAAGCAATGAGCTAAGTTGTCTCCAGTGACTTTATAATTTCAATTTTGAGTCAAAACCTTCAAAATAAGCTTTTTTGGCTACTTCTGATTTGACCAAAAGTGATGTGAATTGACAAAAAATTAAGTTTAATGCCTTCAGTGATATATGTTACCCAAAACCTTGTCAAGAATGACAAAAATATGCACTTTCTGATGACTTTCGGTTTGACCGGAAGCGACGTCACCAGACGCATTTTGACGAATTCAATAGATTAAGCTTGACATTTTGAACAACTTTGCTTCTTTGACGTATTACAAATTCAAATTTTTTTTCAGATATTAAGGAAAAAATTTTGGTCCCTCTAAGTCCTTAATTATAGAGGCAAGCCCTTTATAGTTGATATCCTTTGAAAGATCGTGATATTCTTCACAACTTTTGTTCTTAATGTCTTTACAAAATATTAACATGTAAAAAGATATTGCAGAAAAGGTGTGAACATTTTCTAAATCCCCGATGGGATTTTTTACAAGCCATAGCGAGCGCCGACGTGCTGCACTTCCGGAGAAAGAGAGAGGTATGTGTCACATCAGCACATGTAGCTCTATCATCACTGAAATTATGTTTTTCTGTCTAAAAGCAATTTTGAGAAAAATGCTGGTCAATGTGACCCTATGAAAATCACTAAATCACAGAAATCTACACTAAAGAATGCTCTGTGCCAAGTTTAACTTAACTTTGTCCAGTTGTTCTGAGAAGGAAATGAAATTCTGAAGAATTTAAGATAAGGATGATAATGGGTGAATTTTCAAAATTTTACTACAGCTTTAGCTCATATGAGCTAAACTGTAAACAGATTTTGTGCTTTGTTGACTTTGAAATGTGACTGGACATCTCTTTGATCTTGTGTTTGAAATAACATGTCCTTTGTTCTGAATCATGCACATTTGTTAATGCTTTAGTTGTTTATGCCAAGATAGCAATGTTCCTTCAATTATACTGTAAAAATACACATATTAGATCTTATATATTGCCACTGAAGACAGACCTCTATCATCTTTACCATTAGAATTGGTATGTCTTCCCTTGGAAGCGGAAGACCTCAATACAGATGTAAACATGCAAGATCTGACAAATATTTAAAAGAACATTTATTCCAAATTAAACATATTAGATTTTGCAACAAAATTTATTTATCTTGAAAAACTGAAAGCAATTGATATAATCATATTTTTGGATTTATGTCTGTTTCTCAAATCAAAATTTAAATATGATATATTTAAAATCATCTTCTTCAACTGAGACTTGATTCAGTTGATTGTTTCAATTTCATTCTGCTGTTTATTTTTTGTCATCTCCCAAAAGAGGCTCTTCTGGCAAATCATGATCATGCTTGGCATCAAATTTCAGTACTCAGATGACAGTCACACCTATCAAAAGAAATTGATTTTTTTAAAAGTACAACTTATCAGATAAGATAAACCATCAAACTTAGTTATAAGATATTGTTATACCTTTAAAAAATTGTTCCTATACAAATCTATACAGAAAAAAGTCTAACATTTTTAATGTTTTGCTGAGCGGGCATAAAAAAATCGATGTTGGACCACTCGGAGAGATGTTGAACTGCTTACGTCACAGAGTGGGCGGAGCTTAATCTCATTTTCATTCTTTGGTTTTAAACAATGACAGATCTAATGTTACATTACGGAATATAGTACAAAATACATGTATGTCAAAAAATATATAATAAAATGAAAGGTATATAACAAAACATTTATTGACAGAGTTCTCGGGCGAAATGCGTTTTGTCAGACCCTCGAACCAAACTGTCTGCCTTCGGCCTAACGGCCTCGGGCAGACAGTTTGGTTCTTTGGTCCGACAAAACACATGTTGCCCTTGAACTCAGTCAATAAATGTATACTGTCACGTTTCTGCATGTGTATTATTTGTAAAACTACTCTATAATCATTTATAAATTTAGGTTTACAGGCAGTTATTTGAGGATGTAATAAATAACATATTAGTTTTTCATGATTTCAAATAAAGGGTATGTACGTAACTTGTTCATGTCAAAATTTATTAGGAATGGTAATGGTTAACAGTTGTTAACCGACTAATCAGTCAGAAAGATGGTATCTGGTTATGATTTTTTAGGTGTCAGGATAAGGCCATTCATAAAGGTGTTACAGCACATTAGGAACAATGCACTAATCAAGTGACAAAACAGCATCGCATAAGGAACAATGAGCTAGCGCAAAGTAACAATGCTGCTCTAGCTCATTTAAAACACCATGCTACTAAGTTTATGACAGCATGCTAATTGTTTAAGACACTTACATGCTAGCGTGAAGTAAAAATGTACTATCACGCTTATGAGAATGGGCTAGTGTGCTTATGACAACACGGTGACAATGTACTTAGTGCGTTTGTAACAAAGTTTCAGCAGGCTGTTTACACTACGCCGTCAAGCTTACACAAAAGGCCAAAATAAAATATACTCTTGTTTCCTTTCCCCTGACCAAAAAAATTAGGGTCGGTAGGTAGGGAAAAAATTTTATTTTGAGAAAAAATTTTATTTTCAAAATTTAATGAATGCAGAACATATAGCATGTAATAACTGTAATAACAAGAAAATGATATGTTAACAGTTTCAAAGCAAGTTTGTTAATCAAGATTTATAAAGTAAAGGTAACCTGTAAACTTGTGATGTATTAATTCTGTAAATATCTTTGGTCAACTTCAGTATTTTAGAAAAATAGTTATCCAAAAAATGAAAATGTAATAAAAACTTTTAGGGTCGGAGGGTAAAATGTAGGGTAGGTCGGGTGACAGGAAACAGGAGTATTTTTTATTTTGGCCTAATAGATTGTGTAAAGTTGTATTAGGCCATTCCAAGTTTTTTCTCTGTTTAGCGTCCACCCATCTTTCAAAAACCTACCAATCTATTCGCAAAAATAACAACAACACTGAAGCCAAAACATAAAACACAGGATTAAAATGATTTTCAATGATTTGATCTAATTAAACTACTTTAATAGAAGAAATGTCTATTCTTAAGCAAAAACAAGGGAATAAATGCTTACAATACACCAAATATAACTTACTGTACAGAATTATCTGGAGAAATTGACAAATTCAACAATTTTGCCTAAATTAATCAATTTCAGGACTCCTGATGTTGTGTGTTTTTTCTAACATGGGGTGTCAAAAACCAAGGCGCACACGGACGCTAAACATAGAAAAAACTTGGAATGGCCTTAGCATGGCAGCATGTTGAGCATCAGCACAACTGCATGTTGTTCTAAGTTGCCTTAGCCTAACAGTGTTGAGAACACTGTGTTAGCACATTGTTCCTAACACACACTTTAACAAATTGCCTTATCAGGACACCATTTAGTTTTCCATATATATTTTAAAAAGACTGGGAATAAAATTCAATTTTCGATAAGCTTCTTTTCATTATAAGTGTTTGCCTAATCGTTTTTTACTATATAACCCAAATACATTATTGTCTGTTATGGTAGCCTAGTGGTAGGGTAATCGCTATGTATAATCATGAAGCTGGGCTTGATTTTAATTCACTGCATCAAACCTAAGACAAAAACATGTACGCAGTCATGTTCCCTAACCATGCACCCAACATTTGTAGTGAATTAGATCCTAAAAACCTCACAGTAGATGTTAGGATAATGACCCTGAGTTCCAAGTAAAGGTCCATATTGAAGCTATTCACCAGAATATATTAAATGAGTCAATGAGTGAGATTCTCATGATAACATTATCAATCAAAGTATCAATAAGAAGCTGATACTTACTGCTAAATGCTAGAGACAGGTTACTCCAAAGAGACTGTATAAACCAAGATTCTGTGTCACAGTAGGTGTGGGTGTTGGCACGAAAAGGATCCCTTACTTCTCAAAGGCAATAAGTGCTGAAGTCTATATTTGCAGCTTACTATCCCAAGTGGTGGCATCATAAAATGACTGAAAAATTTTCAATAGACTAATTAACAAACAAACCATTTCTGCAGCCTTATCACAAAAAAAGCAAACTTTACTATTACATTTTTTTTTTTACAAATTTCTTTTGCAATTTAACTAAGAAACATACATATGACATAAAATATTGATTTAATTAACTGAGCAATATTATATTGTGTGCAATTTTTTTGTCAATAAATTATACTAAATTTTTTTCTGCAGTAACTGGACCCACAGTGCTTTGCTTCTTTGAGCTACATTCAAGCTTTAAAGTGGTATTGTAGGCCAAACTTACACTACGACGTCATGTGACTTTAGAGTCTAGTGCCCTGTTCAGACGGAGAGTTTAATTCGCAGTAAATTATTGAGAAGTAAACTAAATTAAATGCAAATCAAACTAATGCGAATCAAACTGTGTTCACATGACAGCTAATTATAATGCAAAGTAACCAAATCGAATAAAAATTTTACTTTGACAGTCATGCAGGCTTCAGTTAGGCTTTTATGACATTATTTACAAATCATGTCATCTTAGGCATAAACAGATGTATTTGACATAATGTCACAGTGTCTGTTTTCACATTTTAGTGATTAACACTATATTTTCCTTAGTTTTTCACTCAAAAATAGCACAAGTACTTAAAGCTGACCACCAACATGTAGCATTTGACTTAATTTTGCCATTTCACATGCCTCAAAATTTAATTGGAATTAGCTTACCTTAGTCATGTTAGTGTTCACAAGGAGCTAATGCATAGTAATTTAATGCGCAGTAAATTAATTCGAATTAAAATAATTTGAATTGAACTCAGTCCATGTGAACATGCATCGATGCACCAAATGTCTAGTGCGGTTTGACAAGCCTGATCTAAATTAAAAGTGAATAAGTATCTGCCCTTACCATGCTTATCGTACCCTAACATCACACCCGTCAACATATTATTAGTTGAAAAACATTTTGTTTTGAACATGTGGAAAGCAAGTCTTGTTGAAATTACATGCTCACACATATTTAAATAAAATTTAAAGCTGTGGGGATTTTAAAAGGCTAACTGAGAGCGTCTGAACTGTAAAACAGTTAATATATCGCTGTGTCTGTGTATTTCTAAAAATATCGACAGCTGATAAATGCTCTAAGCTGCCATAGTAATATAATGTAAATTTTAGGTAAACAAAAATCTTACCTTCGAATTCATTCCCATGGTCCACGCCAATCATAAATTAAAATGTAACCGTCAGCTCTTTAATCATTCGATACAATTATCACTGGGGAATCCGAAACAGAGTCAAGAGTGTTCATCCTTGTTTATTACTGTGACAGTCGGAATTTCCTCGTAAACAATTCACACAAGAATATATAAATCGGATAATTTTGCTTAGAATAATGCTCCAGAGGATTGATAGAGTACTTTGAGCTGCAGATAAAATGTCCGTGCATGTTTACATACGGCTTGTATGGTGAGAAAATCCTCAACTTCACTTTGTAAACATGATCAACATGTGTCCGATTTGCCGATTTCGATGGGACACACTGAAACCCGGATGTACTAAAGACCTGAAATTAAACGATGTTTTTATTTTAAATTAAATGATAATATTGAGTACTTAAAATGTCTTATTTTAAAGACCTTTGACTATGATGCATTATGTTATACAAGAATTCATTTGTTTGGAATATTACTGACAATTTTTAATCAGGTCAAATCAGGATTTTAGCATATCAAGTCTTTAGTACCTTCCCGTTTCCCACAATGCCGCGCGTTGTTTACACCTATACAAATGCAGAAAAAACCCATTTTGATTTCACCTTTTGTTGTGTACATACATCACATTTTAAATTACTTGCATAAAAAGAAAACAGAGAAACACCGAATCAACACTATATCTTACTGATGCATCAACTAAAACCAGGGACCTATGTTAGTATATAGGTCCCTGCTAAAACTGTGCGTTAGTGGCACAGTAAAGGCTTGGCTGGCTACAGTAGCTAGACAACTTGTCCATGTAAGGTTTCCCACATATTTGTTTTATAAAAAACAAATATAGTTTGGAGTTTGTTTATCTTTATACCAAATGACAGGGTTTTTCATCAATTCGAAATGATTTCTGATAAAATTTTTCATAGTATAACTGTTACCATTAAAAAATTAATATTTTTAGCTCTCAGAAAAAAAAAAACGTTTATGATCTATTTACCCCTTGTCTAACTAAAGGGGCCAGCCCCTTTTCCTTAATCTTATATGAAAGCTCTCATAATAACGCACAACTTTTGTTGTATATTTCTTGCCAAACTATTCTCGGTGCAAAAGCAGAGACATATCAAAGTACTGAAAGTACTGTTAAACGGAGGCTTCATGTATGAGAGAACACATAAGAAATATATATATCATACATAGCTGTAAAGAATGTTTTGAGAATTATTTTTTTTTTTTTTTTCAATTCAAAATTTTTTCAACGGATACTCCAATATTTATGAGGTTTTTGGGATATTCTAATTTCAACTTTGTAATGATTAAAGTTCACTGTTATTTAGATGAGATAATTTCAATATTAAACCTTTCAACGTAAGAAACAGTAATTGACTAGGCCTGGTTGACATAAAACTTAGACGGGATAACTTTTTATCCCAGTCTCACTTAAGGAATATATAGTGGAAAAGTGAGACTGAGATCAAAAGTGAGATATATCTTGACAGATTTGACAACCAATATTTCTGGAATTATTAAATGTTGTATTTTATCATATGACAGATTTAACCCAAAAATGTCTTTCTTTACTCTTATACCAGTGGAAATGGTTGTCTTTTTCAGTTTGTCTGTTTAAAACAATCATTAACAATGGGACCTGATTACAAATTACGTAGAGAAAAGTAATAAATATATAACTATGGTTTCTGCTTTTCAGTAACTCTGTTCAAACAATCAGTTCTCCAATGATGTATGTTAAAAAAAGTTGACATAAATACCAATGATTAGAAATACATGTAATATTGTATATAAAAAAATAATTAAAGTTTGAGAAGTGAAAGAGGTAAAACAAAAGTATCATTGCAAATAAAGATCAACGATATGGCAATAAGACAACTTATTTCAGAAGATGTAATTTTTAATTAATTAGGATAAATCATATAATGTGATAAATCATGTAAATCCTATGAACCAAGATTTGGGTTGTACCCAAAGGTCAAAAGTTACAAATGCATTTTGATCTCAATATCAGAGTTGCCGTTTGTTTCTCTCTTATCTAATTGAGGGTACCCCCAAACACTCAAACCGCTTGTAGAAAGTGTAAATCTGTTTTCATGTGTTTCCTAAAATTATACATAATTACAAATAAAGAATTCAAAACTAGACTTTTAATATTCCTACAGATAAAAATACTATGCATTTGTTTATTCACCGATCCTTGTCAGATTAACAAAAACTCCATGAAACCTATTGATGCAAGCGTCAAAAATCGGCCGCAAACCAATCGGCCCTTTCAAGAATAAAAGGAGTGAAAATGAGAATACAAACAGCAATCAAGCACAAAAAATTCCATTAAAACTGAAATGTCTGATCTATTATTAAAACATATATCTGCGACATAAAACATTTGCATGCGGCATTGCAGGATTTTCTTCAATACATAATACAGGTACATCTGCGTCTCCACACTTAGTTTGATACAGACGAATTCTGGTGGAAGTTTTTTACAATTAAATATAAAACTAAAGTTTAAACTTATATATCTAGAGATAGTTTTTACTTTAATAAAAGAAGCAAGTGATAAGTGGGGTTCCTCGATCACTTTCTGCGGATGTTAACCCCCCCCCCCAAAAAAAAACTCCCTCTAGATCCGCCACTTCATTTCTTCTCGTTCTTGTTTTGGTGTGAGAATCGGTGGAAAAAGGCTCGGCATATTGGAAAACGCGCTTTATCATCGACTGTTGGAACAGAATCTCCTAATATTCTGTCTGATTAAAACTTAACAGTAAATCACATTTTTTTTACATAATCCGTAGGAAATGTATTTATATACACGTCATTTTAAAAATATTAGACAAATCCTGTTTATTTAGAAAAATTCAAACTGTTTGTTTATACTTGTATGTGACGCTATCTTTGTTTTAGACTATGCCTATCCTTGCGGTCGGTGTTACTCAGAGTCGCTCTAAAAATAGAATTCTCAAGGTAATGAAAACAATTCCACCGATAGATGGTGCTTGAGAAATCTTTCCTGTTTACATTCCATGGGCAAGACAATCCCAATAACCGGAGGCTGTCATACAGCCTCCGTTTAATAAGAGAGGGACCGCTGACTCTTTCGGAGCACTCTAGATTTTTCATGACGTTTCAAAAATTCGAGTTCCGAATGGAAAATCATCTTCCGATTTTCGCAGCGCCCTCACCGGGAGGCATAGAAACTATAAACAGTATGGCGTTTCATCATAAGAATGGGTAGAAAACATCGCTAAAACTTCAATTTTATGCAAAATTTACTTGTGGCATTAATCGTAGGAGGATTAGATACTTTCGTTTGTATCATGTGTATGACGACAAAGAATTGAGAACAAATTTAAATACAGTAAATAGATGAAATCCATCTAACCCATGTCTCGAGTTGCATTTGTTCAGTCTGTCTTTTAAAAACTATAACAATAAAAATACATTATAGAATGTATTTTATAGTGTAGGATGAGACCAATTATGACGAGCTCATTTGTTTGTAATGTTGATTTTGCAGTTGCGTGTATTAATTACTTGGTTTTTAATACATACATAGGTGTTACAGCTGTGTTAGGTTTCAGGTTGGTGTATGACAGTATGTTGTTTGTTTTTAGACTTTCATTAAATAATTATTTTTCAAAAAGGCTGAAATTAATGTTTTTTAGTGTATTATATTGCTGTATAGAAAAATAAATCTATATCATTATATTTTTGATTTTTTTTAACTACATATCTACATTATTTTGGCATTAAAAAACAAAACAAAATACAGTTAAAAATACACCATCCTGAAACCAGACTAATGTTGTAACATGAATCTAGTCCAGCAACTCATACATTGTATGATTTACTGGTTTTTAAAACAATGTTTAAGTACTAGACTAGTGCTAATTTTTACATATAAATTTAAAAAAAATAAAATATACACTACCCCATGATGCTTTCACATGTTTCAGCTTTCCTGACCCAGCCACAAGTGCTTGAGGACAGGACCACCCCCCCCCACCCCCTAATATAGACCCTCAGGCCTATTAGAATATTTTCACATAAATTTAATATATATGGATGACACATTTGTGATATAATCTATCCTATCAATTCAGAAAATTTGCTTAAACCAACATTTTATAACAAAATTTCTAACCACTCTCTATAGTTGATTTTTATATAAAGAATGTAGGGTAGATTTATAGAACATTTGTTTTAGGTAATTTTTCAATTTGTTAACGTTGGTATAGATCTTATCACAAATATGTCAGTGAAAGATTATTTATGAGAAAAAAGTCGAAAAAGCCCAGAGGTCTATATCGAAAGGGGGGGGGGGGTTCCTGTCGTCAAGCACCTGTGGACCCGGTGGTTCCTGAGAAATTTTAAAGTTTTTTCCTATATATTTCCATGTAAAACTTGGATTCTAAATCATGGCCCCATTCTACCCCTGGGGTCATAAATTGAACAATTTAGAATCTACACTACTCCAGATGCTTTAACGCAAGTTTTTCTGGCTGTGGTTCTTAAGAAAAAGAATTTTTCCTTTTATATTACATTCTATGTATAACTTGGCTTCCTTATTGTGACCCTGCACTACCTTCAGGGGTCATGATTAAATAATATAGAATTTGCACTACCTTAGGATGCTTCCACATAGGTTTCAGGTTTTCTGGTCCAGTGGTTCTTCAACTTGAGAAGAAGATTTTTAAAGTTTTTTTTCCTATATATTTCTATGTAAAACTTTGATTCCTTAGTGTGGCCCGGTCCAACTGGGGGGGGGGGGGGGGGGGGGGGTCATGATTTGAACAATTTAGAATCTACACTAATCCCAAGATGCTTCCACAGTTTTTACTTTCTGGCCCAGTGGTTCGTGATTTTTTTTCAAGACCCCACCCTATTTTTGTCTCTTCTTGAACATCTCCCTTTGTAGGGAACTTGGCCCTTCATTTTAACAATTCAAACTCCCCTTCAACCAGGGATGCTTTGTACCAGTTTGTTTAAATTAACCCAAAGGTACTTGAGAATTTTAGTAGGACATACAACAGACAATATGTCATTAGAAAAGCTCACTTGAGCCTAAAAACTAGGTGTTCAAAAAATACAAAAATATGCATTGGCTAATTTTAAGTTAGATTTATTGTCATACATTTAGGCCCAGTACATGTACATGTAGTATATTTTAGTTTATACATGTATGCATCACATAGAAATTTGAAATGTTCATCACACATTTTTTACAGTCCAAGGAGTGGGAAAATGTTTGGAAAGAATACTCATTAATGATATTCTTGGAGGTCTTAATTCTTTTTTTTTACAAATACCATGGAGAGAGATGGCTCAGAAAAAACAA